TGTCAGACTGTTCAGGTAATTAAGCACGTTCTTCGCGTTGAACTCGTAGTCGTCGTCAATAAACAGAAAGACGTCGGATTTATCTAAAACACAGGAATACACATTCACCTACTTGGACGACAACATCGAGCGTCTAAATGGGCCTTAATACGTTTATTATCGTTTATATAAGCTCGATTTACAACCGCGCACGGCAGGTGTGAAATGTGCAAAGAGAAATTTAAGTGTAATTCTGCTGGTCAGTTACTGATCAGAGCGTTTTAATCGCCACACTTTCACACTAATCTTCCGCAATGTTACGACACATTAAGCTACAAACATCACATCAAGTGCAGTCTGCTCGACAATGAGCTGCGTCCTTTAAGCAATTATTGCGATGGTTCCGTGACTAGCTGAAGGCCTCAACAAATTGGTTCTCGCCATGGAGATGGGTCAACTACGAGCGCCTTCACCAACATCTAGTGTTAGCTTGAATTCTTTTTGTTAATTAATGGAATGCTGCTTCTTACTGTCAGACATCAAAGCAACGAACCAGGTGCGATACCAAACACTAACAGAGGGTAAACCGTCCATTTTTCAATGCTACCAAGTGGCAACGTCGCAATGCATCTAGTTACTGTCATCAATGGGCACATAGGCTGGTTTCACCGAGCATTGGACAGTTCAATTTCACCTACGCCAGTTCAACTTCACACGCACAATTGCATCTCAGCATTGACTCAAAATTTGCAATGATTCATTTCACTAAGCTGATGTCACATGATTATAAAGCAGCTCCAACATGGTAACAGGACCTTTCGGAAGCATCCTTAAGTTGATATAACAAGATTCTAGGGTGCTAGTGGTGCTTTAAACGGCATTCACACTTCTGTGATTACACTGGACACACCTAACCAGCATTTACTTCTAAAACCTTCTGGCGCCGTATACAATCCCTCAACTAAATATCATTTCCCAAACAATATGCTTGCCAAGAAACAGCCTGACGCGATGGTGAAAGAAAAGGTGAACACCGACGCTACCCGCTGACAGGCTATTTAGCTACCTCAATTGATAATACCTCACACTTGCCAAAATATCTCAGCTAATGCCTTTTCATGCTCAAGCTGACTCATTCTTTCGTAAATCACATTCTTTTGACTCCACGCACGCCAAGGTTCAACGACAAAGTAAGCTTCAGAACTCACATTAAAAGCAAATTCCGCTTGCTTTTAATTCACGTCAGTGATTAGCACGTGATGTTGGTGTGATACATGAAAACGTGCCAAACACCACAAAGGCCTACCTTGGCAAAATGCAGAAGCCCATCGATGGCTCGCTATGAGCTTGTAGGTTAGGTTCACGTAGGTATCCACGTAGTCACCAATGATCATGTCACCGAACTCGTCTGCCTCCGCCAACGCTCTCTCCCGAGCCTCGGTTGCCCGTCGTGCCCACTCCACTGCCTTGGCACCCGCCTTCTCTGGCAATCGAATGTCGAAGCCGCCGTTCATGTGGAACAGATTGCC